AGAGTACGACTCGACAACAGTAGCGCTAAATGGTGGCGATTGATCTTGACAAGGCGTCTGGAGAAAGAGAAGGAGAAGAGCGACGATTTCTGGTGGTCGCTGTCACCGGCGGTTGACGATGGGCGTTCCAGCTTCAACATGGTGGCAACGCCGGTGGTCTTGCTGATCGGAAAACAGGAGTAAAGGGGGTGGTGGCGGTCGGAGGTTAGGAGGTTGGTATCTGCATTAGGGTTAGGTTTAGGTTTGCATGTGTGATGGATTTATATGCAGTCATCCCATCTAAAACTTTGGCCTTATTAACAACTTCGGCCCCTGCAAACCCATTCCTTTCAACTTAACTACCATATTTTACCCTTTTAGCCCCGACCATCCAAAACCTCTTCTAAATTTACCATTGAGTCCCTACCCCCAATAATCTATTCAATGAAAGTCCAAATGATACTAAACACCCCCTAACTACTGAAAATCTTTACAATATAAGTCTCGAAATTACACTTTAACCACCGAAGACCAATTTATATCATTTGCCCCCCGAAACCCACACCCCGCTAAATATTATTTGATTTTGGGCTATACGAACCTAAAATAATAATAAAAATTATTTCTCAGGATTTCAGGTTTGTTATTCAATTACTCTATTTTAAACGGGATGTTACAATTATGTTCTATTCATATGTGATATAACATATATAACTTAGTTTTGTTTGTGTTCAGAAGTAAGCAAAACATATCAAAACAAAATTATCTTCAGTATCTTCATTTTCTATTGTATTTTTAAGTAAAATCGCATCTAAATATTGACAATCACATATGAATAAAGTTAATAAGATCTAAATAGAATACCAATTTTATTTACCTTTTTCATTGGTTTTTTGTTTTCGTTTATATATATATATATATATATATATATATATATATATATATATATATATATATATATATATATATATATATATATATATATAATATATATATATATATATATATATGCTTCACTCTTGTTGTTGTTTCTATAATGGTAAGTAGTTAATATTAAGACAACATAAGCGAAATGTGAAGTAACTTTTATATTTTAACAAAAAAGTTGTGAATAAGTATGAAAAATGAAGAAAATATGTAAACTCATTTATATATAAACTAATAATGGATGATTATTACAAAAATTTCAAGCAAATCAACTAATAATGAAGGAGGATTACGAGAATGAACGAGGATTACAAAATATACAAGATATGTGATAGGGTTCACAAGACAATGAATACATGGATAATTTACATAACAATATTGCGAATCAATTCGGGTCAAATTAAATTTGTAGGATTTTATTTGGATTTTAGTATGATTTTGTGGATTTAAAAATATTTATGTTTGATTTGGATTTGTGTTTAATTTTGATTTATGCTAAATTTGGATTTTATATGGTGTTTATATTTTTTTATACTTATGTAAGAAATTTATTAGGTTACTTTCTAAACAAACAGATGAATTCAATAAAAAATAAAACACAAGGGTAAAATAATCATTTTAATAATTCAGCACAACAATTCAGAGGTCCCAACTAAACAACATGATAAACATTCAACTCTTAAAATTTTATACAATTTTAAACATTCAGATCTCTTAAAAATTCAGATACTGCCAGAGAGCCCTTAAGTTTAAAGTACTATTTGTTTTTAAATGTTATAATAATTAGACTAAAATCTAATGTTGAAGTATCAAAAACATAATGTTGAAGTATCAAAAACATAAGCGAACAAGTAAAAAGAAAAAATCTCTCAACTGAAACACAACCTAAAACCGAAATTGTTACGCTGATGGCAACTGAAACCCTAGATACTCCGACCAATTGCTCCACATCTAACGATAAAGGTGACACAAACCAACTGGAAGACTACGCAACTGTCTCTTATTCTTCTCCGGATGTAAAACCAGTAGGAGATGGGGAATAAGGAGAAAAGGGTAAGAAAACCGAATCCGAAATCGTTGAGAAAACCACTTTAGTTCACCCTCTATCGAAGATGAGTCTCATAGGGAGGAAGAGCTCCGACCACGAACAGATAATACATGGGACCCTACTTCCGAGAGGGAGAAGAAGTTGAAGTTAGAGAATGAAGATAGAGACAAAGCGGACGAAAGATATGGCGAAGTTATGATGACGGAAACGATATCAGAGGATGGATGCTCTAAGTTTGCGCTTGATAAGTGTTTAGTGAATCTTCCGATGAAGTGGAGTTCAGATAATTTACGGAACTTTCTCAATGAGCAGGTGAATTCTTCTCTCTACTGCATTATTGAATTTTGAAGGTTTTAATTGATAGTGGTTAAAGAATTAGGGTTGCATGTACACCATATGAATGTTGTAGTGCTCAAAACCCATCAGTTATGCCATATCCCAATTGTCTAAAAGCGGTCGTACATTTTTTTATTGTAGTAAAGCCACGTTTTGTGACAACCCGAAATTTCTATTCAGTACAAACATGTCAGGTCAATAGAAGTCAGAATAGTTGCTGCTAAGTTTCAAACTTTTTGGAACAAGTTTGAGTATTTTAGGATTTACACTTCGGGTGATAGCAGGAGAGAGGATGCCCTAGAGTATTTGGTGCATCTTGAAGGTTTCAAAACTCCACGAGTTTGGAGTTCATAGCTCAAATAATATTTTTGGACCGAAAACTCAACGAACTATATAAAGGACACTTAGCCATTTTAGTTCACTTCTTCCATTTTCAACTAGAGAAAAGCTGAAATCTCTCCCAAGGATCTTCAATCTTTTGCTCCGTATTGTAAGTACTTCAACCCTAGATTGTATTAATGTGTATTACATACTTAGATATGATTGAAAACACTCTTGAATCAAAAGAAGAAGGAGTTTACGGCCCAAGATCTTCTTTGACCGTAAACCCTAATTTGGGTGCCAAAGTGCTCCCAACTCTTTCCTTGTGCTTAGAATCATGTATGGAACCTTCCCTTGATGTTTTTAGCACATAAAAATCAACAAGTCACCCCACTTATAGGTGTTTACGGTTTGGGGATCTCCTAAAACCGTAAACACCCCAAAGTGATCATAAATGGCCCATATTCCTTCCTTATGCCTTGAATCAAGCCTAGACTTTTACCTTGAAGTGTTTAGGACTTGAAAACATCACAAAACCATGTTCCATAGGAGTTTACGGTAGCAAACTCATGTATAAATGGTCCATGGGTCGTAAACTCCATTTAAGGGTGTTTTGATGCCACAAACACTTCCATAGGCTTATAATTCAATGTAGGAATACTTAGAATGACTTAGAAGGCTTCAAATCACAAAATGGTCAAAGAAGTATGAGTTTATGGAAGTAAACTCAAGAGTTTACGACCATAAACCCAATGAGTTATGGTCTCCAAACCGTAAACTCACAAAGAGGGTTCCCTTGAACCCTAAGCTCAATAGCCTTTCCCTACAACACTTGGAAGCAATCCTAGGGACTTATAACACTTATATGAGGTGTTTAACATGTCCTAGTGTGTCTTAACTTTGTTTATTAGTTGTTTAACTACTAATTGGATACATGTATGTGATATTATATGTTAACTAGGATCATAGAGTGTGTTTAAGTCTCCACTTGACACCAAGCAATCCTACATCTTCAGTTCATCCAAACCACCATCTACAGGTGAGTTCATACCTCTTGAATTAACCATTTAAATATTTTTAAATGTTTATAAATGCTTTATGGGGGGGGGGGGGATATAAGTTAAATCATGATTAGTTATTAGATCAATCACATGTGATTAATAACTATCATGCAAATGGATTTACTATACGTTAGCTGTTTTACCAAACAGATTTCTTCAAATGACTTTCTTAAACGTTTTTATATGTTTAAAACTATTTATCAAACTACTTTATACACTGTATGTTTCTTTTCAAACTCTGTTACAAATGTATTTCAAACAAAGGTTTCCTTTATACTTAAACTATTTATTCAAACAAAATACTTTCAAACTGTTTTATAAACTGGCATAAAGTCTAAATTTTCTTAGATATTAATCTTTTTCAAAGGTTTTACAAAACTCCTTTTATGCTTTAATATTATCAAATGCATGTCCATATATGTATAGTTATATAAGTAATGTTTAAAGGACTTAGGAAGGTTAAACCACTTTATTTCCTTTTCCCCGTTGGGATGTGGTCTGGTAGGGTATCGGTTATCCATCCGAATGTCATCTAAATATTAGTTATATATCATCTATACATATGTAGACATAAAAGTGCCCTCAGTCAGTTCAGTACCTTTGGCTAGCAAAGGTATACCTTCGTTGATACTTGTACATTTCTAGTAACTATCATAGGTATAGTTAGGAGACACTACTTGCTATTCCTATTACAAGGAATTACACCAGAGTCGGTTCATTCATGAGTCTATACTAAATGTTATATGACGAGATACACTTACTTGGATACACTTACTTGGATATACTTACATGGATACACTTACTTGGATACACTTGCCAGGATACTTTTACATAGATACCTTGTTAAAAGCATGCCTGTATATGTATAGTTATATAAATAATGTTTAAAGGACTTAGGAAGGCTAACCCGCTTTATTTCATTTTCCCCGTTGGGATGTGGTCTGGTAGGGTATCGGGTATCCGTCCAAAGGTCGTTTAAATATATAGTTATATATCATGTGTACATTTATGGACATAATAGTTCTGATCAGTCAGTTAAGTACCTTTGGGTAGCAAAGGTATATGTTCATATATCCCTAGTAAACTATTATATGTGTAGTTTAGGATTATATATGATTTAGTAATTAATATGGATTTCGACTTAGCGATTCGTTGCGGAAGTCACCTTTAGTTCCAAATGTAGAATAGGGAGTACCAATCATATTATTACTTACTTACAACTGGTCTCGTGAGAAGACTACTTATTTACTAAGACGGGACTAACCATTCCGGCACCCAACTATTAGCAACAGAGGTAATGAA